GCCCGCCTTTTCATTGCAGTTTACTTCAATGACCCCGATCTGCCTGTCCAATCAATATCTCATTCTGACCTGATTAAACCTCAGGCTTTCCGGATCAATCTACTACTGTCTTCCTTCCGAATTAAGATGTTTCCATGAGGGACGACTGGGATCAACTACTCTAATGACGGAGGACCTATTCTGTCCTCCTCCTATTCTTTAATGGGTGGAAAGACCTTGTGATGAAAAAGATGGTACTACGGAGGACGAACCTTAACCACCTAGCATATTGTTATAGCCAGAATCTTCGAAAAAATTACATAAGACATATAGGCACTCTTTAGGGATAAATGAAATCCTTTATCCCACTTCATGAAGTGGGAAAAAGGTTCAATTTTTTCCCTCTCCTCTACGGATTTATAGGACATCCAATATTCCTAATAACAGACTATTCTCCGATCTCCGAATAAGTTCCCCAAGAGTTTCCTATTTGACTAATTTTCTGACACTGGTGTTGGTCACTGAGGCAATTACCGAAAAAAAGGCTTACGCACAGAACGACTATCATTGAAAGCCAATGGTTACACCATTCTTTACAAGACAAAAAAGACTTTTACCTACCCGGTTCTATCAGGAACGCTATTTCATAAGCCTGGACAATGTTAAAAAGCCTACTTGACACCCTTGTATTCCATCGTAGTGTCTCAGTTCCGAGTCGACTCTCAACACTACAGAGCGAGTGGCGTCCACTGCACTAGATTTGCCTACCTTCGCACACTTCACATGGCGATTCTTCTGCTACACACCTCTATGTAGCTAACGCTCTAGTACTTCGGTATGCTCCGCACTACGTTAAGCCAATCAAGCAAATGAATGAAGCAGCGGGAGAGGCGCGAAGTAACTCGCCCTAAATTTCAAAGAAGGAGCTGATCCTTGCAACTACATCAAAAACCCCTATTATGTTATGCATCCAGCCGCTTCTCTTAAGTACCGGGTATAGGTTACAATAACCAAGGAAGGAGTTGCAAACTCGGATGATTTCAACCTTTTGCCAGGGGAGCCGACATCTGAAAATCCATCTGGTCCCGGTGATTACCTCTTCTGAACCGAAAGAAGAAAGATGGTAAGCTTAGGTCCCTCGGAACCAATGACACCTTCTTATGGACACCGGAAGCCTCCGTTTTTGAAAGAGAAAGTCGGGTCTAGCTGATTCCCGAGCACTTAAGCACATAAAATGTTCGATAGATAACAAAAGAATCCCAAATATCTCGGTCCAGTGCCGAGGCCGAATAATTGGCCTTGGCAGCTACAGTTTGGTTAAGGGCCAACTCTTGGTTGGAGTTGGATGTACTAAAATTCTTCAGCGGTAGTGTAAGGTCTTCCTCTCCTTTATCTCCTCCACCCATCCGCGGAGGAATTCAAAGCATCGAGAAATAAAAATGACTGGTCTAGTTGCCGGTTTTTTAGTGAACACTTTGCTGAGGAACGAAGTCTTCACACTCTCTTATTAGCCATCTCTTTTTTCAAGAGCTAGCTTTCACACTCCTTCTCTTTTCCGATAGCTTTCCCATTGATTGATATAGTGAAGAACATAAACAACATTTTACCTTTTTTTTACCCCTTCTTGCTCCTCGCCGCGTCGGCGTCGCCGGGGTTTGTATACTCCCGGTGACAACACTACAGGGAAAACGGCCTTTATGTACTGTACAAATAGGAGGAACAAAACTGCCCTTCCTTTCATTGTGATGCCTTGCCCTGGCAAGCTCCACACCGGTTGGGGGCTGTGCCGCCCTGCCTAGGCGGCAGTTGAAAGTCAGTACCATCCCGTTAAGGACAGGTTCCAGCTCTATGGATAGAGCCCTTCTCGAGTGAATACCATTCCGGCACAATTATTCCAGATAGTCCCGATCGCAGCAAAGGTCGCGTACGAGGGCACGTTTTGGTCTGGTCAGAATGGTCTCCACAAAGCAAACATCTTTTTCTTTAGGAAGAAATGGAGTAAGGGACAACCTGGCAGGCGGAAAGAAGCCTTGTACTATACTTGGTTGCAGGAAGCTAGTCGAATGCGTGCTCTTGTATCCCTTTCGGTGGTTTTTTGCATTTTATGCCCTTCCTCTGAGGTTCGCTAGGGCGTGGCATTCGGTTACAGTTAGTAAACGAAGGGAAGGGGGATTCAATTCACAGAAGAGAATCGGGTCTCATTCGGCGATGCCTCGCTGCTTCAAAGGGAAAGATTTGCTTTGCGTGCACCTTCGGGTGTGGTGGCAGGATCTGGCTTTTGGTTTGAAGATTGGATCTGCACTTTTCTTCATTCAAGAATGATGTCAGTCAGACTAAAAGGGGCTCTTCATCCAAGAATGAGCTAGGCTGGCCGGCGTCTTTATGAAGATTGGCTTCTTTTAAAGGAAAATTCCATCTTTTTTACGGGTTCAAAAGCTTTGGACGACTGTGTCACTGCGGTCTGATTCACTCACCATGCTAAGCGAGTCGCCCTGAAGGCCTAGCCTAGTTTATGCTTTTGGGCTCCTTTCTGAGGAAGATTTAGGCTATTTCTGTTATGCTTCCGAAGCCTAGACCCACCTTTCACCTTGGCTTGGCTACAGGTTCAAATCAATCCTTTTATTCTGCTTTCTTATCTTCCTTTACCGAGCCGAGCCGCACTGAGCGAGCCCGCCCGAAAGCCACCCTCCGTCCTGGATCAGCGGATTAAGATGCAACTTCTGTTTTGAATGCTTCTTCATATTCGGCACTAAATACTTTGGGAAAGTAACTTCGGGCCGCGGAGGTTGGGGCACTTGAGACTGAGAATGAGGCTTCTGATACAAGAGAGATTCAACAAATGAGAAGAGGGTAGTTCGGGTAGATGAGAGTCGTTCGGGTGGGAAATTTTCAAAGAAAGGGGAAGAGAAAGAGGCCGGCCTAAGGAAGGTCAGGGGACTATTCATCCAGGAAAGGTTTGGGGGGCAGGGCCTGTGTGTGGGGCGGATTGGCAAGGAAATGTCATACGTAATGGAAGTGTAGCTCGCTTGGACGCATTACCCGATGCTCCTACGTACGCCAGTCTGGGCTGGCCAACCCAACCTTTCGATGCTCTCCCATCTCACGATTTTCAATGTGACGTTCTTCCTCGTTAGACGCCCGACCAAAACCATTTTCTATCTGGAGGTCACACGAAATTCCGGCTATGAGACCGATCAAACGTCAGAATTTGTGCTCATCCTTGGCCCTGAGGGCTGGGATAGAAAGAGGTCTTCCCGGTTAAAGCATGAAGTCTTCACTTCCATTTTGAACCCCAAAAAAGAAGCAGTTTCAGATGCATTCGAAGAGGCAGACGGTGTAGTTTACCCAGAATCAAGAAGAGCAGGGGAACGGACTTTCTTCCTATGGGGAAGGAAAGGATGAATTTGCATAGATATAGAGAAGAGAGGACCCACGATTGAAGTTTTATAAATAGTAACAGATGTAAGTTATCAAATCAGGGGACCCAGCCTCACTGACGTTAACGGATTGTCTACTATTCGCTCTGCTTCGGAAAGCCCTGTGGAGGTCTACAAAGAAAGACACAACGCTTATGTTGCGTGCAATATCTTGGAATCTGCTTCGATATAAGTCGGATGGAGAGTTTTTTAGGTAAAAAGAGAATAAAATAGCAGGGAGACGGAAATGGTTTTAAGTCGAATAAAGGGCCGCGGAATCATAAGCAATAGCAAGATAGAAGCTTTCCAAATCCACACATATATAAGCTCTACTAAATCTAGATAACTAGAATTCCAAGAGACCAGAAATCCTGCCCGGAGATGGCCGAAAGAGAGCTTCGGAGGGGCTATGCTGCTTACTGTAACTGTCAATTGTATTCCCTTCCCCTTGCCGGAGCAGGACACACATAAAAAATAGAGATAGCAAAAAAAGCAGAAAGAACATAAGAAAGAGAAAAACAGAACTAGACTAGCATCGATGATTTCTCCCATTCTATCATGGAGTAGCCAGAACAGTCTATTCATTTCTTCTTTTTCCCCTGCTCTAGAGGAAGGATCAATAGCTGAAGATATCCCACGAGCAGAACAATTAACACGAGCAGTCTCCAAGACATGTCGAGTCTTTCTTTTTCTTCCTCAGCACATGAATAGGACTTAGGAAAGAAGAAAATCATTAGTCAGATGCGGAGATTAGGTTGTTTTCCTCTAGGCCAATTAGACTGAAGGGGAGTAAGGCATTATACTCTTTCGAAATTTCTTATAGAAAGAGAAAGGATTCGTCTTGTAATTGTAAGAGCAGGTTTAAGCTTACTTATCTTACTATAGTAGGTAAGCGCTAAGAAGCTCCAATCATGCTACTTCGGATATATATGCTTAACACATGCAAGTCGGACTATGTTTTCGATCAGCCCATGCAGGTAATCACCAATCCCGAAAGCGATCGAAGCCTTTGCGACGGTAACATGAAATCTCATAAGAGAAGGAAGGTCCACAGAACAGAAGGTTGAAAAGTAGTACGCCCGGTTCACCAGGTTCTACCACTGCAGGGCCCAATCATAGTCAAAAGAAGAATTTTGGCTCAGAAGGAACGCTAGATATATGCTTAACACATGCAAGTCGTATGACAGAGCCCTACCGCACCGGAGGTTGCCCGCCCGGATGATGCATGTGATGTCAAAGAGGGGTTTTTTAACAATGACCACTACGAACGAAGGACCAACGACGGTGAAGGAAAAGAAGGATTAGGAGTAGGAGCTAATTCGGACGGAATCGAATGATTTCGAGATCGAGAATGAGACAAAGGAGAGCACTTAGACAATTCACTTTGAGTACAGGGAAGTCTGCTGGTAGGAATTCTTCAGGGCGTATTACGGTTTTTCACCGAGGGGGTGGATCGAAGCGATTGCAGCGAAGAATTGATCTGAAACGAAGCACTTCGTCTATGGGCATTGTAGAAAGGATAGAATATGACCCTAATCGTTCTTCTCGGATCGCTCCAGTACGATGGATTGAGGGGGTCAGCCTGAGGAAATTGAACACGATAGAGGAGTTCGCTCCGCCGCCTAAGATCCTCGAACCTACCACGACCACCATCCGCGGCCTATTTTCGTTCTCTTCCCTGCCCGGAAAGGATGATAAAATAAAGGTAGCTTGCTTCTCTCCTGGACTGATGGCGGCTTATGTAGTGGTCGGCCTTCCTACCAGAATGTCTCCTTGGTCGAAGAGCCCCTTTACTAGTAAGGGCGCAGGAAGCAAAAAAACTTGCGCGAAGGACGTTTTATTTTCTGCCTTCTCCTCTCCAAAGGCCAAGGGAGAGACTGCATCCCTTTCCTTCGGTAGCTCTTTTTGTTTCCCAAGGATAGCGGTAGCTGGGGCAAAGCCCGCTTTCTTCGCTCCGCGAATGAGAGAGGATAAACTCAGAGGAAAAAACACGTTCTCTCTTTGCGAGGTCCGAAAGTGGAGAACGCATAGCATTCTCTGGGCACATAGGATCAAACGTAAAGCAGCGCTTTCTTGGCAGAGTTTTAGGCGGCAAGATACTTTAGGGCTTGTTGGAGCTGCTGAGCATAACGAATCGAAGCCGAAGACGGATCAAGGTAGCTTGCCTGCCAAGCCGATAGGCGACGGGACGAAGGATGGAGCGTGCAAAGTCGATCGTGCACCTGTCGTGTGACCCGTTGGTCCTAAGCAAAAAAACTTGCGCGAAGCGACCCACCTAGAAAGAGCTCTCCTTTATGTTAGGGGGGAACTCAAATGGAACTTCGATCGGATGCGGGTATCCAATCCCGCCGCTGAGATGTCCAGCGGATTCCTGGGCCTTGACGAATGGGCGGCCACCTTGTACGTTATAAGAGCAAAAGGCCCGGGGCATAGCAGGATGAACCAATGTGAATGAGTGTAAGCTTCGTTGCCCGAACACGATTGGTGCTGACCACACTAGGTGCTACCGTGGTAGCAAGAGAGGCCAGGCGGTGACAATTGAGAGGTTGTCACTGAGCATTCCTAGTCACACGGGAAGAGAGGTCAAATGGCAAGGCAAAGCCATACGCCCGTTTGGCTCCTCGCGGAGTATAGCTCACATCCAAACATCTGATTGGGGAACGGGGCAACGCCCATGAAGCTCCGGCGGAAAGGGAAGGCCTGCCAGGCCGTATGCCCATGGGTGCAGGATTCTTCGAAAAAGCGCGGGCTGACTCGGAGACCTGGGACCTTGGCTTAGCAAGGGATGAAGGGAAAGCTATTACAGCTTTCTCCGTCAGCGGCTTATGTAGTGGTCGGCCTTCTATAAGCGACTTGTCGAGTCTAAGAAGCTTTGCTTCTTGTAGTCGGCCCGTAATGAATGCCTCCCTTCATTTGCTTGCCTCCTTCCAGCTCAGAATGCCTAATGCCTATTATCTAGTGCTAGAAGCTAACCGCCAGAAGCTCACCCTTCGGGTGTCGCTTCCAGCGCAGGAGGCCAAGCATTCTGCCAGATGTCCCGGCCTGGGAGCCCCCTTCGCCTTGACTTTAGTCTTGAGTCGTACTTAAGTAGCTAAGTTTCCAAAGGTGAACAGCCCCTGTCCTTTATAGTCGTAAAGGGCGTCTCAGAAAAGTAAGGAAGGAGGCATTCGAAAGGCCGACTACTATATAATAGGCCTTTCTGGTGGGAAGGCCGACGACTACACGGACTCTATACCAAGTCATGAGCGATAGCGAAGCCAAGCCTTCGCCTATAGGCGAAGGGACGGACGAAAGCCCGACGAAGGCCTATGATATAAAAGTAAGAAAGTAGGTTAAGGTTACGAAGTCACTTAGCCGTCTACTAAGGGAAAGGCGTCGGTACGGAGTCACGTCAGCTGTGGATATAGACTAGGCTATAAGGAACGGAGTCTGAAACTATGGACCGAGACTACACTAAGGAACAAGGAAGCTTGACTGAGCAAAGAAGTCAAGGAACGAAGCTGCTTCTATAATAGCCCCGTTGAATAGGAGGGCGAAGGCTTTTTGAAAAAGTCTTTTTTGTCTTGTAAATGAAATGCATTTTTTTTTCGAATTTCTATTTAGAGAGAGGGGGCTTCAAGTTCTTAGGAAGAGCCGTACGAGGCAGCTCACGTACGGTTCGGGAGCCGAGCCCCAGCACAGGGGCTTAGGTCAACACTTATATAATAGCCAGTCATCAATTGGAAACGGGCAAGATGGTGATGAATTGCAATTGGTCCAAACCTTCGACCAGCGACTGATTGCGACCTGCCCAGAATGCCCATACATACTAAGACCTTATTTACACAGCGAAGAAAGGCCGAGTGGAAGGGGGCAGTCAGCTGGTTTCTCGTTCTCGTCTCTTATCTAAACTTGAACCCGTAGTGAAAGATCCATTTCTTTTGCGCTTGATCTCGTCCTTTCTTGAGCTTCCTATCATAGGCACGCCAGTAAAGGATTGGTAGGAAAAAAGAGGGCGTCCACCGGTCAATTTCATAACGCCCGTCTTATTCCATTTTTATTTGGGCGAGTTGGATGGGGCTTTTGAGACCAGCTTTCCACACTTCCCTTACGCTAGGTATGATTCGGAAGTCTATATTCCTATAATTAAAAGAATTTCGTTTCGAAGGGCCGAAGGCGGCTTTGCTCATGAGTTAAGGAATCTTTTGTTCAAAAATTGTTGGATTTAGTGGCGGAGTTGGGTCTAACGTGTACCGTAATAGGCGTAGAACCTGGTGGTCCCACAATTGACTGCCCCGGGGGTATGCTTTTCCTAACAAAGGAGGGTTAGATTCAGGTGATTGAAGATGAGAATCGTTATTAAACATCTATTTTCTTTGTTTTTGGTAATTAAGGGGTCACGCGTGACTCGTTTTTGCAGAGAAAGAAGACTGGAGGGGCTCCCGGTCGATATGTAGGTTTCAAGGGCTGGAACTGAGGTAATGGGAGTTTGTGGAGTTGGGCGGGAAACTCCCCAGGGCCCTTTTTTATAAGAGTAAGGGAATAGTTCAACCATGAGCTGCGGCGCTTAAACTTAAAGAAGTGTACTTACTTTTCATCGCGCCGAATGAAAAAGAAATCTTCCCACTTTGCTGCAAGGAAAAACCTTGTCACCCCCTTTTTCGATCAGAAGGCAACTACTTCCTCCTATCTGATCTCCCATTGTTGAAGTTGTACCGCCCAAGCTGCTTTGATCTAAGTAAGGATACGAAAGCGTTGGCGGTGCAGCTTTACAAATTAATCCTAATATGCGAAACACATGATTGTAATAGAGAGCTTCTTAAGGTCAATGAAAGCTAAACCTCATTCTAGTGACCAAAGGCCCGATCGTCTTGTTATTTCTTCTATTTTGGTAGAGACTTTGGTAAATGGAAAGACCAAAAAATGTTACCCGCCTCAGGGAATTCAATTTCCTCAGCCTCGGGTCCCAAGGACTTTGTTCGAACAGCAGGCGGAATTGGAGGAGCATCTTATGAAGAACCCGCTTACTCGGGGCAAGGGCGTAAAATCCATCAAGATCGTCAAAGCTCTACTTGGCGTTTCAGACATCGTTGCTCATCTACGGCCCTCTCGACCCCGCTTCTTGTGCTCACCTGACAGAAGTTTTCCCTCATGGGGTTTGGGTCATCTTCTCTCCGAACGATATCCTAGATGGAATATTAAATATCGTTTTTCGGGCTTGCGGTTGTCTGAAAATATTAAAAAAAAAGGTTTGCTCCCATTGTCCGAGATTCTGGCAATACTCTTATCCTGCCTATGTGTTGGCTGTTATGTTTTTTTGGGTTCGCTTATCTACCCTAATGAAGTTTCGCTTTCGGATTTGCTTAATAAAGCAATAGGTGTTATTACCCGAGCCATAGATACTCTTTCGGGTAGTCAGTTGGTTGATGGATCTCTAAACACTGCTACTGATGGTAATGCCCGTGATCCTGTAATTTCTCGTCAAATTGCAGAGCCCTCCGCAGTACGGGATTCCTTGCCGTCCGGGCTTCCTTCATACAAGCTCAGGGTGCGGCCCTCTTAAATAAATTGGTATAGTCATTCTTGCCTTTTCTCTAACTTGTAGTGCTTCCGGAGTTGATTTTTCATTAGTTCAGTTTGAGTTTGAATCTATAGGAACTCATAGAGATAAAGAACCTAACAGAAGCATCTTTCATAAAGAAAGGTTGAGGGTAGATAGGCTGATTTCCTATAGAAAGAACTCAAACTGAACTAACCAAGATTGAGGTAGACTCCGTGCTGCGAAACGGATTCCGCGAGCGCGAGACTTATTATTATAGAAGCAACGAAAACGGCCAGTGCTTTTATTTTAGCATTCTCACTAGTTTTATTTATTTCCAGCGGGTCGAAAGCACTTTCCTCAAATATTTTCCTGGACACGTTGTTTTGTTTAAAGGTTCCCCGCATTCGCACGGGCTGCTGACATGATGATAGCTACAAAGTCTGTCTAAAAAGGTGTCTTTGACGACTTGAAAGGTGCTCTCAGTGTACCGCCATACGCACCCAGACATTAGACCAATTGTGTCTGGCCCAACAGTTTCCAGAATGCCGTTGTCATGATGTTGATCCGGCTTCTGCGACTAAGGCATCCGCCTAGCTCCGAATACGCGCATTGGAGCTCTTCGCTCGATGTCCCGGGTCGCTATGTTGTAAACCGCTGTTTCGTCGGGCGGTGGCTTATTTCTTTCTAACACCCCCTTACTAGATCAAACAAATAAAGCTCCATTGAATGAATCAACTTCTCCCTCCCTGGTCAATGTTTCGGGGAAAAGCCTATCTCAGTGATGTTCAAAAACGGGAAAAAGCGTAATGAGAAAACTCGCGTTAGCTCGTTTTGAACCACCTTCTACTTTTGAACCAGTTCTCGACCGCCCGAATTTGTCCAGCTGACCAGCATGGAGCTTTTCGGGAAAGAGAGAAGAAAGGGGATCGATTATAGAAGGGGATCCCCTAGCTTAGAATTGATTCCTCTCCTTTGACTTTTGACATAGGTACTCCCACTTCAGGTGGACGAGCAACCTTAAGCACAGAATCGGACGTTGGTGCTATCGTATAGAAGAGAAGGGCTGCATTGGATGAACTCCAGCTCTCGGCGACCGACAAAAAGCCTTTTGCACCTAGCAAGGAAAGAAAGTCGCAGAAGGGGCGTAGCGGGCAATTCAATTGAAGAAGAAAGAGAGATTTTATGATAAAGAAAAGGAGCTCTTGTCGGCATAGGCTGGTAGTCTGTGTCCTTCTCAGCGAGATTGAGTAGGATTCCCTGTCTTTCCTTTCTTTCACGAATTATGTGTTATATAGAAATAGGAATAAAAGGCGTAGCTCTCTTTCTGCTGTTAGCAGGATTCGTTACTATATTCAGCTGTTTCATAATTTCTACTATAAGAGAAGAGTGAAGACCGGGAAATCCCTTTTTTTATAGAGAAGGAAAGTTCCCTATCTCCGAATACCGGGCACTAAGACGAGTACTGAGATCTGTCTTTCGGCAATAAGGAATAGTGATCGCGCTCTTGGTGCCTTAAAAGGACATTAGGAAAAGGCCTAACCGCTGCAATTGATAGAGTGGGAGTAGGAGCTAGTTTTGGTATTTCCCACGGAGGGCGGCTACTCTACTATAAGAGAGGAGCTCATACGATCTCACACCCGGCAGAAAGGGAATTGAATTAGGAACAATGCCCAGTGCCAGAAAGGCTTTTTGAGTTTGAGTGAACACCCGGTTAATAAAATAGATTGAGGGGCCAGCCAAGTCAGTAGACTGGACTTCTGCTCCTATGTCGATGTTTTCGGAGCAAGACCTTCGAGCCACCTTTCTTATCTTAGGTCTTAGGTAGAACCTTCCCATTAGATAGCCAAGAAGAAGAATAGCTTTTCTCTATACTTTCAGCAACTAAACGAAAGGGTTTATGCTTTGGCTGAACGCCTATGCTATGCCAGCTATGGAAGATGAATGATGACTTTATCTTAATGGAACTCCAACAATCTAGTTTGAAGGCTGGTATAACTTACACATACCAGACTACCGACAGATCTGGGTGGGGCCCTTGGAGAATAGAGCAGCATTTGCTTTTATTCCCCTTTAAAAAAGAAAGTTAAATGGAGACAACATTGATCTCTATAGACGGTTTTTCTTTCCAGGGCCCTGGTTTGGATTCGCCTTCCCGGTCTTCCTTTTGAATAATGGGAGCAAGATTGAATTGAATCTTTTCAAGATTTTCCATTCTAACAAAAGAAAGATAAAGGGAGACCAATCTATGATTTATGATTAGTTAAGCTGGAAGCGCTTGGAATAGGAAGGCCTACCTAAAATCTTGTTGTTTTGTTGTGGTAAGGTAAGATAGGCCATGAGCTGTAGGACTGCACTGAGATGCCAGGATAGATAGTTAAAAACTAATAACTTATTGGGGTTAGCATGAAAAGAGCCTTTGAAAAAGAGAAACTGGCCCCCCCTTACTCCATAGGAGACTCGAAAACTATCCTTGTGAATTGAACTGGTAGAATAACTGAGAAGGGTGCTTGCTAGGAATAAATAAAATAGAAAAAAGTGACTGTTCTGATGTTAAGGAATAAATATAAATTCCTCTTAAGAGAGAGAGATTATGTACAAGATTTTGACCGTCAAGTCAAATCCTTAAGGATAAGGATAGGAAAAGTGGGACTTTCAAACTTTCTCACAAAGGAGGTTTGTGGAGCAGTTGCTTTAGTTGTTTGGCATGAGCAAAGCTAACCCTTGCTTGGCTCTTTCCTCTTGATGCGACGGTAACTCGAGATAGAATATCTTAATAGAATAAAGCTCTATTCCTACTTTAGGATCGTACGGTAGAAAGCACTACTTCCGATTTGAATCATCTCGTGTAATCAAATGCAATTCTTTATCTTTGCATCTAGGAGTGGTTGGGATTAACAGCCTTCGTACATCAAATTGTGTATATAAAGATCTTTCTTTCTTCATTCAAGTAAGATAGTGGATCAATAAAACTCCGTCCAAAGGTCCTCATAGAGGCGGTCACCGGTAGGCTAAGATCCCTCTCTGATAGAAGAAGAAAGCGCAAGACGAGAATCTTCCAACAGTAAGGGAAGAATAGTTTTTTATAATCAGTTATAAATTTAGGGAAGTTTAAGAGCATCAAATCCTTCTTTTTGAGAAGGAAGTAAGGCATTGGAATTAGGAAATAGCATTTATCCCAAGATAGCGGTAGCAAGTGTTCTGTGGAGGTTAGGAGTAGCAATAGGAGAAGGATAAGGCACGCAAGTAACTTCTTCCACATGGGAAAGGCGCTTTTAACAGCGTTTGCATCTGATCGTTCCTGGGAAGAGTCATTCATGCTCTCTAGCCAGGGTACGGAGCGTAGTAATAGGAAGAAGTCAGTGCTGCTTTACTTTGGTGGTATCATATTTATAAAAGGAGTTGATCCCGTCTCAAGGGCGTTAAGGCTTGTTGATTGAACGAACCCGGCAAGGTCCTCCTTATTAGCATCCCAAGCTTATGTTGAATCGAGATTTTCTTGGTCTTCTTTGACCCGAGGGGGGGATAAGCTCTTCTCTTATCTGCTCTTCCCGCAGTTCTCTTTCTGCTGTTGTAGGCAGGGCTACTTTTTTCTTTTTTTTTTTCGAGAACGGAATCATAGCATAGTTTCGTAGCCAAGTTAAAGACGTGCCAACTTCTCCTACTCTTTCTTAAGCGCTGGTTCTGCTTTCACTAGATTCTGTTCTTGTTCACGCATCCCTTTCTAGTGGACGGATTTCAAGGGCTAGAAAGGAAGAAGTCTTAGCCTTAGCGGAGTCACTTCCAGATTCACTTCTTTTTTAGGGAAAGAAACCGGCGTTAAGCGCTTCTTGCTAACGTCCTTAAAAGGAGAGAAGGAACCTGAGGGTATCAATCAACATATAGATAGAAAGGATAGGGCATAAGGATGAGACTAGCTTGTAGTGTTCACGTGGTGAAGGTTGAACTTGGGCCTTGGCTTCGGTTCCAGAGATGGGTTCTGTGGCGAACTCGAGTTGAATAAGCTCTTCTTCCTCAAGTTTTTAGCTTGAAACAAGAATGGATAGAGTTGACTCAGCTGCGATTGCTCTTGGTCAGTCTGATTAGGATTAAGATTCTGCTTTCTGCTATTTCATGGAATCTTAGAGAGACTGGAGTAGGTCAGAAGTGGTGGAGGAGTGAAAAGCCGATTAAATGGTTGATGTTTTCGTGGTTAAAGAATCTCTCTTAGCTAGGGCTAGGCCACCTGCCTGACTATCTATTGTCTCAGCAGGCCTTAACCCAGCAAAAGACGACAGAGGCATAAAGGAAGATTGATGAAGAATAAGCGATGGTCTTGCTCTTCTTTCTCTTGGAAGAAGAATGGCTGTTGTTTAATCAGTTTCAAGTGGTGGGATCATATATTCATATATAATAGTGGAATCCCGTCTCCTTAAAGATCTCTCCCTCAAAGTAGAACGAGCATAATCGAAGACAGATGGTAGCGTATTCGAAGTAGTTGATCTCACGTGCTATCCGAAAGTCTTCTTAGTCTTCGTCTGCTCTCAATGAGTCAATGCCCGGACCAGGCTCTTAATTAAATAGAAATCCCGTTAGTGAAGTCACCCTCGGAGTTGACAACGACTAAGCTTTTTTTCTTGACACTAGTCTTAGCCTTTCTAAGGACACCTTGCCTTCTTTCCTTGGCTTGGCGGGAAGGGCTACTCAGAGTGGTGCGTCTGGGGACTCCCCTTTCGAAATGGGAAGAATAGCGTAGTAAACAGTGACCCTCGGGGATGAAAGCTGCTCTTGCTCTTTAGAAAATGGTTTCTGTGAACAAGGAAGAAGGGCTACTTTACTCTAGATCGAATGCGACTGGAGATTTTTCTTTCACAGCTCTAAAGGGAGGGAAGTCAACAGTCAAGAGAGGGTCTCAATCAACAAGAAAGTCATGAAAGAGAGAAGATGGTGCTATTCCCTTAGCTAGCTTTGACCAGGAAGAATGAATTTTCTCTAGAACCCTTGGTTGGGCTAGGATCCCGATAAAGGAGAATGTTCAAAGCGAGACGTTTTTCGATAAGAGAACAGGTTTTTTCGGATAAGCTGTTGCCGCTCTTCTGTTAGAGCTCTTTAGTCCCATCCCTACCAAAGAAAAGAAGATCTCCCCGGAGCGAGTGACTCAAAGAAAGAAGGCCCAGGGCCCGCCCCCTTTGAGGTGGGTCTTCACTTATCCGATTTAGAGCGAAGAAAAGAACTTTATAGGCGCTCGCTCGTTCCTTCGATCGGTAAAAACCTACCCGTCGAATCAATAGATCGCATGATCAATGCCCAACTCTTGATAGAAAAGAGAGTGGAAGCCGCTTTAGTTGAGGATGGCGTCTCCCCCCTAAACATAATTTCCAAACGAAATGAAATCCGAGGGATTATCTTTTATCCTCAAGGGGAGACCCTTTCTCTACACACGTACCAGTACTACGTGACTAGTCTGGAAGAAACTGGTACGCGCTCGACTATTCCTTATAAGAGGATAATACGGGAAGTTACAAGGGCTAACCTCTTCCTATAGGAGCTTCTTTCTTTTTTTTTCCGGTATGCCGCTCCGCGAGCAAGGAGCGCCACGCACGAGCGGAGCGAAAACAAAGCAAGAGGAATTCTTCGTTGGGGGAAATCCTTTGATTGCATATTGAATATAGATCTATGTCTTTCTTGTTCTACTAGCTAGGACGAAATTCTCACATGTCCCTTTCGTTATTACAACCTTCTTTTTTGATGTCAAAGACCAGAAGCTACGCGCAAATTCTCATTGGATCTCGGTTGTTCTTAACAGCGATGGCTATTCATTTAAGTCTTCGGGTAGCACCACTAGATCTTCAACAAGGTGGAAATTCTCGTATTCCATATGTACATGTTCCTGCGGCTCGGATGAGTATTCTTCTTTATATCGCTACGGCTATAAACACTTTCTTGTTCCTATTAACAAAACATCCCCTTTTTCTTCGCTCTTCCGGAACCGGTATAGAAATGGGTGCTTTTTTTACGTTGTTTACCTTAGTTACTGGGGGGTTTCGGGGAAGACCTATGTGGGGCACCTTTTGGGTGTGGGACGCTCGTTTAACCTCTGTATTCATCTCGTTCCTTATTTACCTGGGTGCATTGTGTTTTCAAAAGCTTCCTGTCGAACCGGCTTCTATTTCAATCCGTGCTGGACCGATGGATATACCAATAATCAAGTCTTCAGTCAACTGGTGGAATACATCGCACCAACCTGCGAGCATTAGCCGATCTGGTACATCCATACATGTTCCTATGCCCATTCCGATCTTGTCTAACTTTGCTAACTCCCCCTTCTCAACCCCTATCTTGTTCGTTCTGGAAACACGTCTTCCTATTCTATCTTTTCCCGAATCTTCTTTGACGGAAGAAATAGAAGCTCGAGAAGGAATACCAAAACCTAGTTCACTCGCTGATTCTTTTTGCATCTATGGCTGAATGGTTAAAGCGCCCAACCTATACCAACCTAATAAAGAGGCAAATTCGTAGGTTCGATTCCTGCTGGATGCACTTGGAACGTTCAGTTCAATTTCTGCTCACGGAATTGTTACATATAGCTCGCCCTGCTTTCATCTTCTTTATGTGCGCTACCTATGCCCTGTCCGCCGCCTGCACCTGGTCTTTTTAGCTTATATCTTGATTTCGGTTATTGAGCTTCTGGGTAGTCTTGTCCAGCTTAAGCACGAACTGGCTTTTTTCGATCCTTAAACTGCATACACAATAGTTTTCGAAATAGCTGGTCTTAACAGCAAGTACTCTGCACTGGGTGTTGAGGACAAAGACGGGACTGAATCTAGCAAATTCGTAGATGCGTAACACCAAGTTGAATCAGAAGCCTTTGAGAACAACGAGACTAGCCGCGAGCAATCCGTCTTTGAGAACAGACCCTTCCTCCTTGTCGTGCACAAGAAAGGACGATGTGCCGGATCGGATCTTGGGTAGGTTCTCAAGCCGACCCGACCCGGATGGATACTGAAGAGACTGTTGGATCTGTAGTTGGAGGTGCCCGGTCGGACTCTGAAGTTAGAGGTTCTCCCGAAAAAGAGACTGTTTTAGGATTCCTTTTGGAAAGGCTTACTAGGGGTGAAAGCCTATAGTTAGGGCCAAGTGCCTCTAGATAACTGTCGAGCTACTCAGTCAACACACGAAAGCAGGTGGGACACTGACTCTCTAAAGTGAAGACCAGAGGTTTCGTGAGAAGTGGAAGTGAGAGACTGGGACAAGGAAGGTCTAGTACGGATTGAAGATAAGACCACTGGCTCCGCGTCTCCATACCTTGAGTAAGGGGTATCCTCCTTTGTTTTCCCATCCCCGGGTCCGAGTGGATATAACCCAGATAGTTATGGGAAGGGAAGATTACTTTACTTGAATGAATCCCTTGGCTGTTCCTGACTCGGTGATCTCTCACCAACTGGCTTTTGTAAGGCTTCTGGAAAGGATAGGGACAGTGCATCGACTTCACCATCTTTAGATGGTGAATAATCGGTTGAGTCTTCCGCTTAGCTAGGAGGCAGTTAGGACGAGAAAGCCTGGCAGCACCAAGGTCTTGAAGAGCCTTGACTTCACTCATCGAAACTAGATCGAACTCGTAACTTCACTGACAACAAAAACTAGTTTTTCTTTACCTGGTGGAAATTATGAATCAAGTCGGAAGCAAGGAGTATGTTATCCTCAATACAGTTTCAAAATAAGGTGATGACAATGAAAACAGCACATTAATGCTATGATGACCCTGATAATGTCAGCTTAAGTAATTGAAAAATAATAAAAGAAGCGACTTTCTTTGTTTGCTTGTATTACTGCAAATAATGGTTTAACGGTGGAGTACGAACTAGATAATGTACGAATAAGCATCTTCCTTCTGAAACTTTATAGTATAATTAGAACTCGATATACGAATTTTATAGGTACGAAATAGAATGGATTAAGATGGAGGACTTGAACTGTACGAGATAGATATACGAACTGTAAAGCAAACCGTTTCAGTTAATAGAATCACTGTTTTCATGATCGTTAATACAGGTTTGAAGTGAATCTCCGAACGAAAGGATAGTAGCTGCTTTCCTCGTTATTCGCTTGTTATCTTCTTCTTTAGGACTTGTCCGAAGGTGCTCAATCCTATGCTCTAAGGCAAGTCATTAAGGGGTAGCCTCAATCCATCATTATTCAAGCTCAAACTATCTATTCACAGTATTGTCAAATCGAGATGTAAAAAAAAGCCTATAATTTTACTTCTTCTGTTTAGCATGAGTGAAGGGAGGAAGGAACTGAACGGAGTAGCTGTAGTTAGTGATTCAAGTCAGAAAGTAAGGACTGTTGCTAGTCTTGTACGATTGAAGGTAGGAGTGAACCTTCGAACGAAAGGAGTCAAGTGCAAGTGCTAGAGCTAAGCCATTCCTTTTCCTTTGTCTCTTTAGTTTGAGGCCCAAGAGTTGTTGATTCCTCTGATGCTTGGTCAGCCCATTCCATATAGGAGTGATTTTAATTTCGATTTGACTCTAGCGCCACCGATGTTGGATGACCGGCCGGCCCCCCCACCAGTAGTAGGGGGCCAGCAAGCGCCTGTAGATGTATTTCCGGATGGGGGGAACTAGATAGCATCATACAACGACTGCCTAAGGAGGAACTCAATAGCATCGTACAGCGAGCGTCGATCCCCCATCCGCGAGATGAATTCTCCGCGGAGCAGCAGGCTGCATTAAACGATCGGGACATCGATCTTTAGAAACAAACCGGAGGGGGGTATGGCATGCTATATAATATAGACTCTATATAAGCTGATTATTTTATGACTGACGCTTGAACCTTAAGAGATCTCATAACCCGAAACCTCCGTACTTGATTCGCTCTAGCTTGAGATCCGCTACCCTACTCTGTCTACTGAACTGCCTTTACTACCCACGCCTTGTCTTGTCATGCCGGCTGTTTCCTACTACTGAGATGCTACTACCAATGTGACTTCACTCACAGCTGTGCACTGATTTGCTCTCTCTTGAGTTGGCTTAGCTCGTTCTATGGCTCGCTCCGTGCTTGCTCACTCCATTCGTTCTTATGCTTCACTCTGTGACTAATGCACTTTGCTTCTTTTTTAGCGACTCCATCTAGGAGACAGACGGGACTTTCAATGGATTCTGCTCGCTTCTTCTAGCTCCCTATTGATGAGGGAAAGCCTACGAATTACGACTTTGATAGGAAAGATAGATTGAGCTTTTGACTTGTACGCTCTTTCTTCTTGTAGCAATTGACCTCTTGTGGCATTTCAAAAGAGACGGGTCTTGGAACGGAGGCCGCTACGATCATGCTAATAGATGCTAGGCTAGTGATAAAAAGGGTCTTGACAAATGAAAAGCGCTAAGCACGAAAGATAGACTTTGGCACGAACTCGAAGAAGCGCCGGCTACGTTGGCTGATATGCTAATGAGACAGCGCTTCTCTTGTCTAGCTCTGTGGCTCGTCACTACTGAGATGTGGTCTGAAGATGCTCTCTCTTGCTTAGCTATTCCTTGAGTTGAGATGCTACTACTTTCAGATGGTTGGCTCTGGTCGAGTCTGCGAGGCCTTCTTCTTCCCGAAAAAGCCTCACGGCGTATAGTAGTTTTAGTTAATAGAAAAGACGGATCAGCAGGCACTAAAGGGTAAGCTTATATCCGGAATTCAATTAGTTGAATAGGTAGAGGAGAGGTGAAGTAAAGATATCTAGAGCAATATAGACCGGGCCTGCTTCCCATTCATTCTTTTAGTTGGATGCTCTTCGGCTGGTCAATAGGGCACATCGCTTTCGCTTCTGTAATAGAGGCGCTGTAATAGGCGCGGTTGGCTAACAAAAACCTTGGTCCGCTTTGATTGGTCTAGTCCGGTCATTGCTTATCTCTTTCTTCTCTATCGGTGAATTGGGGGAAAGAGTGCACCAATAAGGGGGGGTTAAAAAGGAAGAAATAGGGAAGTAGAGTAGTTGGCACACGCTGGTCAATCCAGTACGTACGTCGCTTTCGGTCTTTCCATTCAATATCCCATTCCCGGTCGCATCTGTTCTATTCAGCCAATCCCTTGCTGCTTGTTGCTTTATCCCGCCATGCCTGGTCCTCGGGCGTACCCTATCTTGAATCTGGAATCGAATCTGTGTCGGCATCTGTCCTACTGGCTGTTGAAGGTGCTGGCTGATGAAAGACATCCCCAGAATGCCCCCCTTTCGTGCCTATCTCACTTGTTTACAGCTCTTATGGCTTTTTTCTGCTTTAACATGATGCAATATCTGGGCCTCCTAGACCTGCTCTCTCGCCCAAGCCTCATAGCATTCATATTCCAAGCACTAAGTATTCCCTGCCTGCTCAGATGCGTCAATCCGCCTATCTTTACCCTTTTCCTCGCATAGAGAGCTCTAGTAGTTCTTGGTAGGGGGAACTATGTAGAGTTGGTTCATTGCTATTTGCTCTCCCGCCACGCTAGCACTTAAGAGACTCTCTTAGCCCAGAGTGAGGGATCACAATAAGGACAAAAGTAGGCAGTACTACGGTACCAGTCCACGACTACCATTTCTGTAACTTAACT